AAAAAGAAAAGTAAAGTGAACCAGTTAGGTCATGTAGTATTTTTTTTTTTTAACGAGGACAATTACTTATTACTATCATTACATATTTTTAATAAAAAAGAAGAAATGGGGAGTTGAGGATCAAACACAATACACTCTAATAATATTTTTATTTATAAAATAGATTGATACCACTTCGTCATTATGTGAAGAAAATCACGTAATATTGTGTTAGACTTCCAAAATAACACATTTCTTATAACTAAATTTAATAAATAATCTAATAATTATTAACTCAATTTCATTTTAATTTAGAAACTTAATTTTTTTTTAAATGCTTGAAACTATCATTTCTACACCATTTTAATCTATCCATCTAGCCATCATTAATTTTTGTTAACGGAATACCATGTTATAGAACACATGGAACCAAACTGGCACATGTGGCAGAAAATAACAGTAAAAATTATCTTTTAACTTTTAAATTTTGAAAAATTTTTTAATTAAGTCCTTAATTAGGTAGAGGAAAACCAAATGCAATTATTTTCCTCTTCTTCTTCTCCTTTCTCTTTAAGGTCTGACATCTTATTAATTTTTCTTCTTAATTAGTTTTAATCTAATTAACTATTAGTAAGTAATTACTATTCCTTTCGTTCAGCTTTGGTAGACTTACTTTTCTATTTAAGTATTCAAATTTACTTATTAATTTTTTTTATATGTTATTTAATGTGTTTATTTTTATTCTGTTTTTTATTTTAAAAAGAAAATTACAACATATATTAAATAAAAAGTCTTAGTTAAGTGGTATTTAATTAAGAATAAATACAAAATTTTATCAATAAATTATTACATCTCTATTTTATTGAATAAAAAACTAAGTTCATTAAAAATGAACAAAGAGTAATTTTTAGTTTTTTTTTTATAAGCCCTAAACCTTAATTCTAGTAAATTATTGTCCAGCAATAACATTTTTTAATTTAAAATTTATTCTAGATTTTTTTTAGAGTATATTTTAAGGGGATAAATGTTTTTTTTTCCTATTGTAACGTTATTATTATCCTTTGAGTTTAACTACCAATCTTATCATAAAAAGTCTTTCATTATTCTTATCTTTTTAAAGGGTAATATAAGTAAAAATATATTCTCTCGGGTTTGATTTAGTTATTTTACTTTGTCTATTCATGAATTATCAATAAATTTGTTTATTACAATAATTAAGATTTATTTTTCAATTTTT